CACCTAACAGATATTTGCGCGGTACTCGAGCAGCTGGACGATGCGAATTCAACAGTCAGCGGAACTAAGAGCCGATGGGTCGTCTCGACTATTAAGATCTTGGGTTTTATCTGTGACTCGAGAGGACGCCGAGCGGATCCGGCGAAGTTAGACAAACTTCTGAACTGGCCGTCACCGTTGCATAGCCCTACCGAGGTCCGGCAGTTTCTAGGAGTGGTCGGTTACTGGCGTATATTCATACGGGGGTATGCGGAGAAGGCTGAGCGATTGAGGTTACTCCTTCGAAAGACTGAAAAGTTCTACTGGGGCTCTTCACAGGAACTCGCTATGCAAGAACTTAAAGACGAATTTAAGGAAGGAGGACGCGTGTTGGGTGTGCCATTGTTTGACGATGAGACCAAGAGACCCTTCATAGTATCCACGGATGCTGGACCATGTTCAGTGGGTGGTTTGCTGTCTCAGAAGGACGCTAGGGGGAAGGAAAGACCGTTAAGATTTGAGAGTAGGACACTTAATACGGCTGAGCGTAACTACAGTCAATTCAAGAAGGAAGTGTTAGTTGTTCTCCGGTGTCTAGACACGTTCAGACACTATATCTATGGGCGATGGTTCATCTTGAGAGTGGACCCCACCGCGGTTGCCTCTGTCTTCCAGAAGGACTTTAGTCTGACGGCCCCGACCATCGCCCGATGGTTAATACGGATTCGGCTATACGATTACACGGTTGAAAGAGTATCTGGTACTAAAAATGCTGTGGCAGATGGACTTTCACGCATCCCTCTCGAGCGTCCGATAGTAGCTGGGGCTCTGACAATGGCAGAGCCGAGGCGCCCCGAGAGATTTCTAGTTAATCTTTACGAGGGCAAGTACCGAATGATCAGACTACACGTGACAGGAGAGGAGAGTCAAGATTCAGAAATCCGGAGGCAAGCAGCCCAGTATTGCCTTAGAGCGGGCCACCTTTTCCGAAGGCCAGTAGGGTCAGGAATGCCCTTACGAGTAGTCTGCGATCCTGAGGAGAGACAGACGATAGTTGCGGAACTTCACGACGGGGTCGTCGGAGGACACAGGGGAGTTAAGGGAACCTACGAAAAGATACGCCGGCTGTACTGGTGGGAAGGACAGTATAAGGACGTCGAGAGGTACTGTATGACATGCGAAGAGTGCCAGAAGAGAGCTCTTGTGAAATACAAAGAGCCACTTCATCCATCCTATCCGAACAGACCAGGAGAGAAGGTACACATCGATCTAGTGAAAATGCCGAGAGGGKTAGGCAATATGAACTACGTCGTGAACATACGAGACGATTTCACTGGGTTCGTGGACGGTAGACCTATCGGGAGTAAGGCGGCAAAGGAAGTAAAGAACTTTG